ATTTTTTCCATTGCTTTTCAGAGAGAGTGGAAGGGAGAGAGAGAGAGAGAGAGAGATCGATGTGAGAGAGACACATCGATTGGTTGCCTCCTGCATAGCCCCTCCGGAGGGCCTGGGATCAAGCCTGCAACTCAGGTACGTGCCTTTGGCCGGAATCATACCTGGGACCCTTCAGTCCAAGGGCCAATGCTCTAACCACTGAGCCAAACCAGCCAGGGCTGCTTTCAGTTCTTTTAGGTCAGCGATTTTCAACCTTTTTCATCTCATGGCACACATAAACTAATTACTAAAATTTTGCAGCACACCAAAAAATATATTTTGCCTCTCTGCCAAAAAAAAAAAAGGTATAATTTTAATTCATTCACACCAGACGGCTATTGTCGTGTTGGCTGTTGTCATTTTTTTATTTGACAATATAAGGGAAAAGAGGTCAGTGCCCCTGACTAAAGAGTTAGGTATTGCATGTTTTAAAAATTCTTGCAGCACATTAGTGTGCTGAAGCACACCAGTTGAAAATCGCTATTTTAGGTGTACACCCAGAAGTGGAATTGCTGGATCATATGGCAAGTCTATGCTTAATTTTTGGAGGAATTTCCATACTGTTTTCCACAGCAGCTACACCATTTTACATTCCCACCAGCAAAGCACGAGGGTTCCAGTTTCTCTACATTCTTGCCAACACTTGTTTTTTTTGTTTGTTTGTTAGTAGCCATATGCATGGGTGTCAGCTAGTGAGACTTACAATTTGAATCTTGGTTATTTAAGGAGAAGAACCAGCATCTTTGTGTCATCTAAGTTCCTGGGGCAGGCAGTTGAGGAGGGTCTCTGAGGCCAGGGAGCATTTGGAAGGAGAAGCCTGTTCTTAGGGATGCTCCACATCTTAGTTTGGTTCAGGAACTGCTATGGGGCTTGGGAGGGATCACACAATGCGCAGAGGGCTTGCTGCACCCCAGTTTTGCCTTCTCAAGCTTGAGACAGTAGAAGATATCTCTCATTCATTCAGACAGCACTTCAACTAATCTTATTACGTGCTGGGTACTCCTCAGGGCTCTGGGAACACAGCTAGGCACAAAACAAAATCCTTGCCATTCTGTTGCTGATACTTGAGTGGGAAGATGGACAAGAAGCTACCAAGTAAGCATTGCTATAAGGGGTGATGAGTGCTATGAGAGAAAACAAGGCATGGAAAGGGCACAGAGAGCAAGGGTTTTGTTGACTTGCAAGTACTATTTGTCACATATTTTCAGCACACAGTAGAAGGGCCTGTCCTGGCCCCCTGGAAGTTAGTTGGGGGTCATGTGATGAGTTCTGGCCAATGAGCAGAAGTGACGTTTGTCACTTCCAGGTCAAATTAGTTAATTGCCAGTGCCAGGCTCTCCAGAGCTCTCCTTTATTTTGTTACAATAGTGGAACCATCTGGATGGTAACTGCTTCATCCACTTGAATCTCTGAGTAACTTTGATAAACAGAGTTCCCCTTCCAAGTTGTGATGGGCCCGGGGGGGGTGAAGAGAAACAAATGGCTGAGATTGAGGAATTGTTTGTTACACAGCATCACTTTGCCCAGCCTGACTGATACCAGGGCTGTGGCTAACTTGGAAGAAGGGGTCAGGGCAGGCCTTCCTGAGGAGGGACATTTAAACAGAAAGCTGAATGAAGTGAAGGAGAGAGTCTTGCAGATATTTGATACAACAGCATTCCAAAAAGAGGGAATAGCCTGTCTAAGGGGCCTAAGGTTGGAGCTTGCTAAGTGTGTTTGAGAAACATTAAGGAGACCACAGGCTAAAGCTGAGTGAGTAAAAGGGAGAGTGGGCAGAGATGAGGGCCTGGAGGAGACAGGGCAGGTCATTCAGGGCCTTGTGGGCCATGATGAGGAGTTCAGCTTTTATCCCAAGTAAGATGAGAACCATGGGGGGTTCTGAACCATGGTGGGGGTGGAGGGTAAGGGAGGCACTTAGCCAAGACCCTGGAATATTATGGCTGCTTTAGATGGTAGTCATGGTGACTGTGATTTCTATTGTTTCTGTTATTTTAATATTTGAAAGGAAGTCTTCAAGTGTTTATTTTCCTCTCTGCAGCTGAAGTGCTGTGGGGTGAAGAACTACACAGATTTTTCTGGCTCTTCCTTTGAGATGACGACTGGCTACACCTATCCAAGTAGTTGCTATAAATCCATCGGGACCAGGGCCTGGGACTGGCACGTGTCCACAGATGTCATCCACCAGATGGTAACTCCAGATTTTGTTGGCGATCACCATGGTAGACCCCAGGTTGTGAGTTCAATCCCCGGTCAGGGCACATACAAGAATCAACCAATGAAGTCATGAATAAATGGAGCAACAAACTGATGTTTCTCTCTCTCTCTCTCAAATCAATCAATAAAAAAAAATTTTAAAGAAAAATAAATAAATTGGAAAATGTATGATAGTGATAAGTGTTCAGGAGAAATATAAAACTAGGAAGCTGAGAGGGGAGGTCATTTTGAGCAGGGTCATCTCATTAATGGTTCACTTAGAAAGGGTGAGGAAGGCACGTGGGTGCTGGAGCCCTCAGACATGATTCAGGTGAGAAACACCTTACCCTGGGGATATGCCCTCTTCATCCAGCTAATGAGTCTGGCCGGCACTTCTCTGGGTGGGCGAGGGTGGGGGCTTAGAACCACATGAGTCAGGACCACAGCTTCACTCATTTGTAAAATGGGCTGCCCCTTAGTTTGCTGTTAGGCATTGGTGAGGTGGAGCGCACTGGAGGCTTTGCACAATGCCCTGTGATTCCGGGGAGTTATTGTGATCAACTCGAGAGAGGTCTTATCCAAGGCAGGGATCACAGGGAGGCAGTGGCAGAAATATGATGAGTCCTTCATGCACCACTAGATACGCTCGGAGGCCACTCACCATGAGAACACTATGCGCAGGAGCTATTCTCATCCCTGAGCCTGTCCAAGGAGCGGCTCTTTGCTCAGAGCCAACTTCAGATAAGCCTCGGAGAAATTTTTTTTGTTTGTTAAAATTTTTGTTCTCCTGCCCGGCAGGCGTGGCTCAGCAGTTGAGCATCGAGGTTCAATTCCCCGTCAGGGCACATGCCCGGGTTGCAGGCTCGATCCCCAGTGGGGGGCGTGCAGGAGGCAGCCGATCAATGACTCTCTCATCATTGGTGTTTCTCTCTCTCTTTCTCCCTCTCCCTTCCTCTCTCTGAAATCAATAAAGATATATTAAAAAATAAAATAAAAATTAAATAAAGACATATTTTTTTATAAAACCTTCTCTTCTCCTATCTTATTTAAAGATAATTGCGTAAGGCAATAACTAGAAAACTGTGTTGATAGACTTATGTTAAAATGTAATTTACGTGACAATAATAGCATGAAGAAGGTTGGAGAAAACAGAGCTATATTGGAGCAAAGTTTTCGTAAGCTATTGAAATTAATTTACCTTTAATCCAAACTAGATTTACAAACCTGACAGGAAGGAAGAGGGCAGGGGTTTCTGGAAAATGTAGTTTGCAGGACCCAGAGGAGAACAGTAGAGGACAGAGAAAAGACCTGGGGGAAGCGAAAGGAGAATGGCTCATGTGCATCATGAAAGGCCTCCACCTTCTACCCACCACTGAAACTGTCTGTTTTAACAGGTCCAAACCATCCCCAACTTGGCCCTGAGAGACCTTTGGCCATCTATAAAACCCTGCCCCTGCCCTTTCTGGAACAGGATGCTCTTCATCTCTGTGTATCCAATTTGATTCAGGTTCCAGAAGTCCCTCAAGTTGGTTCAATGTTTCTTTAGTCCCCAAGTTTAGCTGCCAGGCATTATTGCCACCTTGTTGCTGTTTGTCAAGCTGGGAGGACAGACCTGGGGAAGGCAGAACACCGGGGCCCACATGGTGCTGGAGATGTGGCCTCCTTTTTGTTTCTCTGTGTCACTCATTGCTTTTTGAAGGGAGATTGAAATAAGAGACTTGGGAAAGCCCTGTCAATCTGACTCCTTTCTCCTTTGCTTTATTTTTCATACTAGCTGGCAATGATTTTGGTTCTAAGTGCCTGCATGGGGTGGCATGGCCTGCTTTCTCATGCAACTGTCTTGTTTTGTAAATTATTATGTGGGGGAAAAATTGAAAATGTTCACAAAAGATAACTTGTCCAAAGAACCCCCCATATTCCCCTAACCCAGATTCAGCAATCACCAAGAGCTCCACATGATTTGATTCACTATCTCCTTTTTTCTTTTGGTGAATTTAAAACAAATCCCAAACAGTATTATTGTCCCCCTTCATACTTCAGTACACATCTTTAAAAATGTATACAAAAATAAAATATAAAAAACAAATAAAAATAAATGTATACATTTGTGTTGGCAACCCTAATGCCATTGTAAAATCAGACTGAATATGTGTGTATGTGAGTATCCTCAAAATTCATAAGTTAAAACCTAATCCCTAGAGTGATGGTATTAGGAGGTGTGGCTTTGGGAGGTAATGAAGACATGAGTGTGGGACCCTCATGAATGGGATTAGTGCCCATGTAAAAGAGACTCCAGAGAGCTCCCTCACCCCTCCCCACATATGAGAACACAGTAAAAAAAAAAAAATCCATCCATGAACCCAGGTGATTCTAACAGGTGGCCATGGTCACAGCTGAGAATCAATAAAACTAGGGCTTCATCCAGTGACCATAGCAGGCTGCAACAATTCTTCCATTGGGGATTGCAAATTTATCTAATTTTTTCATCTTTCTTTTAGGGAGATTTTGAGGAGGATAATAAAATGGGCACAGTCATATTTGTAATCACTGCAATTAACTCCCACTTCCGTAAAACACACCTAGCTTTCTTTGGAACCAGCCCTTATCTCAGGTTTCTGTCCCTAAGCCAGTTGCAGGCAGGTACTTCCAGCCAGACAATCAGCACGTTTCATCTGTCTGACCTCAGTCATTGGTTCAGGCCTGGGCTGGGATCCAAGTGACCAAGAGAGCTGGTTTTGGGACGTTAGCTAGGGTGGCCAGGAGAGAGCAGCCCCCCTCCCCACCACAACTCACCTTGTTCAGAGGGGGCCACCTCCTGGGGGCAAGGCTGCAGAGAGAAGGCATGGAGACCAGGGATGAGAATCTTGGTACCGTATGCAAGTCCGAGGACCGGCTCATTCTCGGGCTCTGCAATCCATTCATTCACTGAACAAACATCTATCCAGTACCTGCTGTATGTCAGAAATAAACTGTTTTTACTCATACTTCTGACACCAAATTGGGGGATTTTCTGTATCAAGCAAGCCTCTGCAGGTACCAACTGGGCGTCCTACCCTTTAATTCAATTCTGATACTAAGTACCCAGAGTCCATGTTAGAGGCTCAGTCCCACAGGAATGCCCCCATTTCAGATGCCAGTGGCAAGTATTGGGTCCCCAGGTGAGACACACTTCCGTCTGAGTTGGCTACAAAGTCAGGGGGTTTCAACCATCCTTCCATTTCAGGTTTGATAACTAGAATGACTCACAGAACTCAGGCTTTACTTGCTATTATGTTTATTATAAAGGATATAACTCAGGAATGGTCAGATGGAATTGATGTATAGGACAAGGTATGGGGAAGGGGTGTGGAATTTCCATGCCTTCTCTGGCCACAGCACCCTCCCAGCACCTCAATGTGTTAACCAACCAGAAAGCTCTTCCATAGTTTAGGGTTTTCATAGAGGTTTCATTGCATAGGCATGATTGATTAAATCACTGACCATTGATTTTCACTCTATCTCCAGCCCTTCTTTCCTCCCTGGAGGTTAGGAGGCCGGACTGACAGTGCCAACACTCTAATCACAGCTTGGTCTTTCCAGAGACCAACTCCCATCCTGAAGCTACCACCCCCCCACCCCCACCCCAGTGCTCTTATTAGCATACAAAAGACACTTAGCACTTGCGAGATAACAGGGGTTTTAAGAGATGTGTGCCAGAACCAGGGACAAAGACCAAGTATTTCTGTTTTACTATAGCAGACAGGGACAGAGCTGGGTACGGTGGTGAAATATTCTTAAATCCCTGCAGTTGAGGAGCTAACCCTGCATTGAAGGAAACACTTGTTTAAGTTAAATGAGTAAATGATATAGTATGTTATATTCTAGGGGCTACGGGAAGGAGGGCACAGGGAAAGAGACATCAGAAATGCTGGGAGAGGGGTTGCAGTGCTAAAGTACTGAAGTGGGGGGCAGTGAGAAGGTGAAATTTGTAGAAAGACCTGAAAGAGGAAATGAGTGAGGGAAGCTTTGTGATGACCTGGGATAAGAGGGTTCCAGGCACAGGAAAGGGCAATGCAAAGGCCCTGAGACAGGGGCCTGGTCTATTCAAATAGCAGCAAGGAGGCCAATGTGACTGGAGCAAAGCAAGTGTAGGAGGCAAGTGGGAAGAGCTGAGGGGAGGGAGGTGGCAGGTCAGATCATGCAGTACTTTGTAGGCCACAGGGAGCACTTTGGTATTTATTCCCAAATGTCAAAGTGGGAGCCATGGAGGGTTCTGAGAGGGATGTGACCAGACTGGGGTGCCCACAGGCGCCCTCTCACAGCTGTGGGGGAGGACAGACCTTCCTAGTAGAATTCGTTGGGGCAACATTATCCTCCCTGCCCTCCGTGCAGAGGAACTTTCCAGAGCCAAGTTCCAGCTAGACACAGCCCCAGGCCTGAGCCTTCCTGGCCTAATCCGGGATCTGCTGCATCACGCATGGCCCTCAACCATCTGCTCAGCTGTGATTCAATTGCCCTCTTCCTGGAAATCGCATTTCACTAATGGAAATAAAAAACAACTGCATCTGGCACAACGGCTTTATTTTTTTTTTTTCTTGTGGAGAAAAGTGCACGTCTTTCCAATGGATATCAAAGAATCGCCTATGCTGGGGAACCACATCCAGGACAGAAACAAACAGGCTGCGAGCTCGCTCCGTAGTGTTTTGGGATTGTAGGGGAGAAGCCAGTTAGCAGAATTAGCGCTTCAACACTGAGGCCAAATTTCACCCTTTACTTGTTTTTCTAAGTGGAGCAGGAGAGAAAGACACAAGAATATGACCCCCAGAAAAGCAACAAGAAAAAGGAAAAAGAAAGCAGAACCCTAAACCACAGTGATCATGGCAATTTCCCACTGAACTGCCTGTGGAAAGGCAAATTGCTAAAAGCAAATGGTAGGAAGGGACAGCACCAACACAGGGCCCAGCCTCAGGCGACAGCTCCGGGCCCATCTCCCTGGAGCTGGAACGTGGTTTTCCCACAGCCTTTGGTTTGATTTTGTTTGTAAACTCAACAAACCTTCCTTCCCCCAGTGACCTGGAGGACATCAGTTTCTGTTCCCCAGAGAGCATCTTGAGTTAAACCTCCCCTCAAACATCATAAAATAAAATCTTGCCTTATTTTCAGAAGAAACAAAAATACGTTATTCTCCTGCATTAATCCCAGTCTCGAGAGAACCCAGAGGCAGCTGTCTCAGTTGCTACTTGAAACTGAACTGTTGAAAAATCTTGTGTAAACAGAAAGGTTGGGCCAAATCGGGTACAAGATAAAGCCAAAGCAGGTTTTATCACTCAGGCGGTGACAATAGGCTTGTCCCTCAGATAACTGCTGTCTGAACCACCATTTTTTCTGGCAGCAGCTTAGGGAAAATGGATTGGCCAACAGCATCCTGACAGCCCGTGGTGCATCTTAAGACATTCGGTTAATTTAATTTCACTTCTATATTAAAGCTACTAACATTTCTGACTCCCACCCCAAACATTCAGATCTTATACTTTGTGTGTTTCCAAGAATTTGACCATTTCACCAGTCATTTTACTTGTTGGTGTACAAAGATATCCTCACTTTGAAACTCTAAGGGCACACCCTGGTATGGGGTAAATAGGGCCCGCTAGAAACAGATTCAATCTAGAGCTTCCATAAAGGTAAGAGCTATGTTAAACTTGAACCAGGCTTTCCCGATACCCCAGAGGAGGCGGCTGACATCTTTAAGGCTACAGGAGGTCATTTTGCCAGCAGGGCTGGGAGGGTAGAATTGGGAACACAGATTATCGGTTTAGGCTGTCCTCACAGTGTCTGTCAAGTTATGGGGCGTCAGTTAGTGTTCCAGGGCAGAAAGGGCCACTGAGCTGTGCGGGGTCTGTATGAAGATAGAAGATTCCCAAACTGCACATAACCTCTCAGCAGGAGCCCCGGGCAGCTGGGAACCCAAGCCTCAACCAGGGAGACTGACCCCAGCCCAGCCCCATCTGCCTGCCACTCCCAGGCTATATCACGAGGTGCAAGTGGCAGTAGCAGTTACACAACCCTACCCTCTCACTCCTCCGGCCAAAATCCAAAACATTCCTTAGAGTGACTCCTCCATTAGCAAAAACCGTCCCATTCCTGTGCCACACTGATGACATGGCTGATGAAATGGACGCTGGGTCTTCACCAGTCCTCAAGTGAAAGGAGACCAAGTCCTTACATCAGAAAGTCACCAGCGAGGGCAGGTTATGGGAACATTGCTCAATTTCCTTCTCTAGCAGGATGTAAGATGTGGAAAGACCTTGCTTAAAACATCAACTAGCCAAATGGGCCCTAGGAGGCAGGTTTGGGTGGGAGGTACAAGGTTCCAGGCTCTGAGGTTAAGTCCTGGCAAAAAACCCCAAGCAGTAAGGCCAGGAGCTAAGCAATTCTCTGCCTGGCCTAACACAGTGCATAATTCCAGAATTCAATCCCAGCTCAGGAATACCATGGAAAAGCCAACAGCAACACAGTGGCAGGGTCGTGGTGATGTGAAATTCTAGGCAAACTCAGAAGGCACTTCTGGGGTCCCCAAAGCCAGGGGGCTCTGACTCCCTATCCCTTCACAACAGGAAAAGCTGCTTTAATACTGTTTTCACAGACAGAGGATCTGCAAGCCAGAAGGGAGGGGTCTGCCAGGGTCAGTCACCTCCCTACCTGGGAGCCTTGAGATCAGAGATTTATGGGCAGGCTTGGGATCAGAGCAGGGGACCCTGAGCAAGGAGCCACGTTCCACTTCTCCAAGGATGAACTCTGAGAACCCACATGGCATGAGGAAGAAGGCAAGTCATCTTCACCGGCTCGTGAACTCCAGACAATGCCCAACACAGAATGGATGTGGACTGGCTCTCACCCAGAAGGCACTGTGGAAGCCCCACAGGCTGCCCATGTGCCCCCACAAGAACACCTGAAAAGCAGCAAGCTCATGCATGTCAACTTCCCCAGACTCTGCCTCTAATGCAGAGTCCCCAGGGTCTGGAGCTTGAGACAGGGGCTGCTGGGGCAGGCTGGCGGCTACGGTGAGAAAAAGAGCCATGCGGGGAGTGAGTGGCAACTGACAGCTGACAGGGGGGAAGGGGGTGCCCTGAGCTTGGAAACAGCCCTTGTGGCTCATGCCTCAGTCACATTCCCTGCCAAGGCAGGAGGGGGTGGGTGGGGGTTGGGGCCATCTCTAGCAGCTGCAGCTGCTAGGCTGGGGAGGTGGGGCATCCCCCAAGGTGGGGCCTTTCCCATTGCTGCCAGGGCTGGAGCTGGGTTCCAGGGACTCATTCATCTTCTCACAGATGACATCCACCAGGCGCTCGAAGACCTGCTTCACATTGATATTCTCTTTGGCACTGGCCTCAAAGAACTCGAAACCTGGACAGACACAAGTGGGGACACCTGTGAGACCCTGAGGGGCATAACCTGGGCTGTGACATCATCCAAATCGGGTTCCAAGCCCACTTCTGTCTGTTATGCAGTTGTGGGATCTCAGCTCAGTGCCTTAGTCTCTCTGAGCCTCAGTGTGCTTGTCTATAAAATGGGAACCATGTTAATAAAAACCCGTGACAGCAGCCCTGCTCTAAACTGTCCTAAGAATCTTGTTGTCCCAAGGCAGTGGCTGCAGGAGTCCAGGCAGTAACATTCCGGTGCCTAGAGGGCATGGGTGCCCATGGGTGGCTGCGGCTTACCTTCCACCCAATTATACTGCACAGGAAGGTGCAGCGAGGGTGCCCACAAAACTAGATGTTTATATGCACTTTTGAAATGTTCTGGAAAATGTGCTCAAGACCAAGTAAAACATAGCTCAAGACTGGCTTCAGCCCAGGAGGCTACCAGTCTGCAGTCTCTATCAGGCAGGTAATGGCGGGTTTCCCAGTGTTCGTGGAGAGCGCGTGATGCGTAGTTCCTGGCCTACAGAATGCACTAAAATAGTGATAATAATGATGATGATAAAGAGTGCTTATATCATGCTTACTATGTGGCAAGCACTTTCTAAGAACTTTACATGAATAAACACCTTTAATGGTGCTCTGAGGTTCATCCTCTTAAAACCCATTTTACAGATGAGGAAACCAAGGCAGAGAGGGAAAGTTACTCACCTAAATTCACATAGGTAACATGTGGCAGGGCCAGGGTTCACACTAGGCTGCCTTGCTCAATAGCAGTTAATAAATATTAAATAAATATTTTAAATATAAATAAATAAAGAATAATAAATATTCCTATTATACATCCTTGGGTCTTGGCTGGCTGACTCCTTCTGGGGATGGGGGATGTGAGGTAGCTTTGGGTATATTCTTAGTGACCATCATAACTTGTTTGCCCTCCCAAAGGTGGGAGGTGAAACAAATGCTTTGGGGACTTGCCCAGTGTTCCTCAGCTACAAAAAGTGGCCAGTCAGATTGAAAATAAAGATGTACGTGACAATCCTTCTTGCATCCCTAAAAAGGCTGGTTAAGGATCTGCCTGCAGGGAGCTGCCCCTAAAAGTCCCCGATGTGTCCCCACCCGCCACACCCATCAAGGTGGGCCAGAAATTCAAACACACACCCACCATATTACACATAGCACAAGATAAATGGGCCTCTAACCTGGCACTTGTCATGCTACACTATAAAAATGTAATTGTAATTAAATAGTTAGGTGTGTAATTATCTGTTTCCTATCCGTCTCCGCTACTAGACCACCAGCTCCAAGAGTGCAGGATTTCTGTCTGCCTTGTCCACTCTGTAGCCAGTGCCTAGCACAGAGCAGGCACTAGGGAACTACTTGCTCAATGACTGGATGAATGAATGAATGAATGAATGAATGAATGAATGAATGAATGACAAATAACAGGGGCAGGGCATGAACTCAGATCTTCTACTCTGAACCTAGTGGTCATCAATGTTACCCCACTGCCTTCCTGAGCAAACCTGGCATTTCCTTAAACATGTGTAGCTCTACCTCAAACAATCTCAGTTCTTTTCCAGCTCCCCATCATAAATATTTGCTAGAGAAGGTAAACACTGCTGAAAAAGATCAAGACAAATATAAAAGCCATTTGTAGTTTCATCACCCAGAGGCAATTATTATTGGTGTTTTGATATTTAGCTTTCTACTTTTAAAAATACAAATACAGCCCCACTGGTGTGGTTCAGTTGGTTGAGCATCATCAACCTATGAACCAAGAGGTCACCAGTTCAATTCCAGTTCAGGGCACATGCCCACAGTGCAGGCTCAATCCCCAGTAGGGGGTGTACAGGAGGTAGCCAATGGATGTTTCTCACATTGATGTTTCTCTCTCTCTCTCTCTCCCTTTCTTTTGCTAAGATTAATAAAAAGATATTGAAAAAAACAAAAACCAAATACACAATTGTTGGATTTGGGTTTGTAGGGGTGTGTGTGCACGCACATGTGTGTGTGTTGTTTTTCTTTTATTAGGATAAAATTTCATCTCCTGCTCTGTACTCTGGTACTTTAAACATAATGACAGAGTAAGAATTCCACCCCCAGCCCTGGCACTAGACATTCTCTGCAGGAAGGTGTGGGCAACATCCACAACTGGGTTGTAGGTGATTTTACCAATTCCAGGCAAATTGGGGATTTAGGACTCTCCAGCACATCTGGACATGAAACCCAGGCTGGAGTTCCCAGAAAACACATGGGACAGAGGAGCAGGTTAAATGACACCATGAGGGAGCAAAGAGCCGAACCTCAAATGGAAGACATTCCATAGAACAAAGACCCAGTTTCTCTCACAAATTGATGGCAAGAAAAAAGAGAAAGGGGACTATTATAGTCCAGGGTTCTTTGGACTTTTTCTGTAAAGGGCCGGATAGTAAATATTTGAGGCTTTGTGGGCCATGAGGCTTTGCGGCCATAAGGTGCTCACAGTTTTACATGCAGGCATCAACGATAGTTCACAATCATGCCAGCTAACAGATGCAACCTACACATGTGCCAGAATCTTATAACTGCTACACATGTGGTAACTCATTTAACCCTCATGATAAGTCAATGAGGTGGGGTTGTTATTATCTCCATTTGACACATAGGGAAGTGCAGACCCAGAGAGCTGGAGTCACAGGTATACAAGATCACAAAGCGAATGAGAAACAATATGAGTTAATGTTCAACTGAGGCCAGCTTTTGCCTATTTAATCTTTCTAACAGCCCTATGAAGTAGACACCGTTTCACCCCTGTTTCCTAGGAGGAGAAATGGAAGCACAGAGAGGGGAGGCAATGTGCCCTAGATCACACAGCAGTGGGCTGCAGACTGGGGTTCTAGCTCGAGTCTGGGTCCTTAACCCACCCTACCCTACAGTAGTTACACCACCTCCTGTAAGGAAAGTCCTAGGAGAGCCTAGAATACTAGAATACTCCAGGACAAGGCTTTCATTGAGCTTAAATTTTGAAGAGATCATTCATTCACCTGATTCAAAAAGATAAACTGAGAAGTCCCCCTCCCACCCTGGTTTCCAGCCACCCGGTTCTCGGACACACAGGTCACCTCTGTTACTAGGTCCTTCTGTATCCTCCCAGAGTTCCTGTAGGCAAACATAAATATATATTCTTACTCTCATCCTTTTTATACACTAATGCAGGTGTTGGCAAACTGCAAGATGCCAGCCAAATCTGGCCCATCGCCTGTTTTTGTAAAGAAAGTTTTCCTGGCAGTCACACTCATTCATTGATGTATTGTCTATGGCTGCTTTCAGGCAGAATTGAATAGTTATGAGAGACCCTATGACCAAAAATACTTCCTATCTGGCTCTTTAAGCATATGTTTGCTGACCCCTGCCTGAACTCAAGGAAGCAGCCATATCCACTATTCTGCAATTTGCTTTTACCACTTAACCATATATCCCAGAAATCCTGCCATAGTGAACATAAAGAATGCCCTTACCCTTTTTCATGGCCACACAGCATTCCACCACATGAATATACTTTATGTTTTGTTGCTTCCTCCACTGTGAGACACCTGGGAGGTTGCCAAGGTTTCCCTGCTACTAACAGTACTGCAATTTGACATACTTGCTGCTTCCCATGTGGGTGAGGATGTTTGTGGGATAAATTTCCAGAAATAGTTTTTTGAGTCTGGGTTCCTAGGGCAGGAGTCAGGGAGTGGGGATCAGTGGGTGAGTCCCTGGAATTAAATGGAGACGGTGGCACACATGTGGGCATTTTTCTGGGCAGATCCTCAAAGAGCAAAGGGTTGTAGACTGTGGTTGGACCTGGGATCTGAGCATGGGGATGGGGGTTTGTTCTGGGAGGTCCAGGGCCTAAGGCCCAGGTTGGGCACTCACCAAGGTCATCGGCAAGCCTCTGGCCATCCTCAGCAAGCACAACACGCTCATCCTCCAGGTCACATTTGTTCCCCACAAGGATGACCTGAGCATTGTCCCAGGAGTAGGTCTTGATCTGGGTGGCCCTGTGGAGTTTGAGGGCTGTCAGGCCAGAGATTTGGGGTTAAAGAAGAGGGCAAAGGTCAGGGGATCAGTGATCAGCAAGCACTCACCAGTCCTGCACAGCGGTGAAGGACTCCTGGTTGGCAACATCATACATGAGCAGGAAGCCCATGGCTCCGCGGTAGTAGGCTGTGGTGATTGTACGATAGCGTTCCTGTCCTGCTGTGTCCTGGGGAGACAGTGGGGTCAGCCTGCTAGAAGCCACCTGCAGGACACTGTGCTCACAGCCCCAGTCTGATGGGGACGACATGGACCTGCCCTCACTGCCGGGGTCTGATGGGAGAAATATGGGCCTGCCTATACAACCTCCAGTCTGATGTGAGACATGGTCCTGTGCTTGAGGAATTTCCAGTCTGAGGGGTCAGTGCCTCTCACAGACTTATAAGCCCCTATGACCTCATCTCCAAGAACCAACTTAATGACCACAAATAGGAGCCACCTGGGCCAGAGGATACTATCTTGATGCAGGCACCTTGGTGCTTGTTACCCTGACAACTGTTACCAACAGCTGCATTGCGGGGGTGGGGGGTGACTCTGACACCTGGCAGGCTCAATGGGAGCCTCTGGATTCACACTTGAGATGGTACTCAAACCACTTTCCCATTAGTCTTTAGGACTTCTAGCTGCCTTGGGTTACTACCGATTCCCCCTCAGACCTCACAGGGCAGGGCATATCCCCTCATCCTCATGAATTCACCTCAGATAATACTTCCCTGCTCTTCACACCTCCCCCACCTCCCTGACTCTGGGCTACTCTCTCTCACTGGGGATCCCTTCCCACAGCCCTACACCCTCCCATGAACGTCCCTAGAGGGACTCCAGGCCCTTCTAGCTGCAGACCCAGGACAGCAGCTGGGCCCACCCAGATCTGCAGCTTGATCCTCTTGTCGTGGCGGTAGACAGTCTTGACCTTGAAGTCAATGCCCACGGTGCTGACAAAGGCGGGTGTGAAGGAGTCATCTGCATAGCGGAACAGGAAGGATGTCTTGCCCACACTGCTGTTGCCAATGAGCAGGAGCTTGAACATGTAGTCGAAGTTCTGGTCTGCTGCATCACGTGAGCCGGTGGGGGGGTCTCCAGCTGAGGCCATCCTGGCGGGGAGCCCCCTGGGGTGGAGGCCTGGAGCCCTGCAGGGAAATAAAAGACAAGTAACCTGGGTTCAAACCTGGTTCTGCCACTTGGAGGCAAGTGACTCTGGGTGCATCACTTGCTCTCTCCAGGACTCAGTGTCCTCCTCTGGAAAGCGGGGATGTTCAAAAAAAGCAAAGGCCCAGGTTGGGGGCCACATGGGGGAACCAGATGGCCACTGAGGAACCAGACCCTGGGAAGGTGCAGGTGTGGACTTTGTTCCCTGGTGAGCAGCCAGTGTGGCCCAGGTGTGAGCTAGGGGGAGGGGGCCCACCAGCTGGATAGAGCCCCCCCTTGCAGACTGGGTGTTGACTTTGGCAGGTGTCAGCCACCACTAGGGTGCCTGCCCTGCCCCCACTCAAGCTGAGCTTAATCCCTTCCCCGATCCCCAGAGGGAGGGGATTTCAGTAGATCCAGCCCAGGGGTTTCAGTGATCCAGCCCAGGTGTAAGCCTAGCTTTGTCCCTGCAATGGGTACTGCCACCTTCTGTTTGTCAAAGGGGCCGGGCCCATTTCGTTCTGGATAGAGCTGACTCAATCCAGCCCCAGCCCATGGAGGCTGGGGTGATGGTCCTCAAATAGAAAGGAACCACTCCAGTCACCTAATAATCAAGAACCCCACTACCAGGACCACCACTCCTCGCAATGTGTCCCCACAGCTGGGCTGCTTCTTCTGGGTCCAGGACACCCTCTCAAGCTCTCATGGCCTCCCTAGACCTCAGTTTCCCCAACCGTCTATGGCTGCTCCCTGAGCCACACAGGGAGGTTCCCGAAGATGTGGGTGAATGGAGGACACACCTGCAGAGGAACCACGGGCAAGGCTCTTTCTCAACTGCCTGTGGGGCTTTTTTCCATTTTAAAGGACAGGACCGGCCCCCCTTTCCTGCCCAGCCCTCAGCCCCACCCCGTGTTCCGGGAGAACGAGTTTCAGGGGAAGACAAGAGACAGGAAGCCTTTCCCCAAGCTGGGCAGGGCTGCCAGGCTGGGCACCCGCCCCCCCAGCCCACCTGTCAGCCGGCCCAGGGCAATGTGCCCATCCTCCCTTAACGCCTGGCACTTGGTAAGGGTCCTGGGATTTGGCCCTGTCCCTCTTTGCTGGATTTGGGGCGCCCCAGCCGGTGCAGGGTAGCTCTGGAGCTTCCTCCCATCACCATATGGTCCCATCTCTTGTTCCCAGCGGGGCTCTCGGCCCCGCCCGCGCCCCATTAACGCTCCCGGAGGAGCCCAGCTGGGTGAGGGCGAGGGAAGAGGCGTCCCCCGCTGCCGGCCTTTGTTCCCCCGGGGCCTCCCCAAACCCCCTCCTCCTCCCCAGACCTGCTGGGACGCGAAGGTGCGGAGCGGGGTGTGCTCCCTCCGAGGGGGTCAACTCGCCTGGGGGTCGTTGCCCGCTGGGTTTCCGCCTCTGAACTCGCTGCAGCCTGCCCTCGGCCGCAACCGCGACCCTGACCCCGCAGCCACTGCCACCACAGCAGCCCGCAGCCACCCGCAGCCACCCGGATCCCGCGCCGGCTCCGCCCAGACCGGGGAGGAGGGGCAGCTCCCGGGGCAGGGCAGGGCGGGGCCGAGTCCGGGGCGGGGCTTGTGGAAAGCTGGGGCAGGGGCTGGAAGCGGCACCACGTGGGCAGTGGTCCAGAGTTCTCCCCAACAATGAACTACCTATAGAGATCCTACTATGTGCAGAGCTGTTGAGAGCGGGGTTTCTGGAGCCAGGTTCGAATCCCAGCTCCACCTCTTTCTAGCCCTGTGACTTTGGACAAGTTACTTAACCTCTCTGGGCCTCCGTTTCCTCTACAGCCAAGAGTCTCCACCTCACACGGTTGTGTATGGTTTCTGGTTAGAATTAGTGTTTGTAAATTGCAGCACCTGACCCTAAAGTGGGCTAGATCCCTTTGCCAAATACTGTTATGGGCCCTTGGAATTAATCCCCCTTTTACAGATAAGAAAACTGAGTCTCAAAAAGGGTCATCTCCTTGACTGAGGTCACACACTATGGAAATTTGGCACATCCAGCTGAGGTCCTATAGTTTTCTTTATGCCAGCAGGACAACATCTGCACTTACAATAGTTTAGGCTTTGCAAGTGTTCAAATTCCAACTCCACCTGAAGCCACTTGCTGAACTTCTCTGAGTACCACTGCTTCATGAGAACAGCAGGTGCGTCTAAGGACTGCCATGAGAATAAACAAAAATGACATGCATCAGTCAGTAACAAGCAGCCCCGAAATTTCCATGGCACCCAACCCCACTGGTCATTATGGAGAATGGAAAATGTGGCGAATCAAAGACTGGCTTGTATAGTAGTCCTCCCCTATACCCAGTTTCCTTTCTGTGGGTTCAGTTACCCAGTCAACCAGTTTGAAAATATCAAATGGAAAATTCTGGAATAAACAATTTATAAGTTTAAAATTGTGCGCCATTCTGCCCTAGCCGATTTGGCTAAGTGGTTAGAGTGTTGGTCCATGGGCTGAAGAGGACCCTGATTCTTCCCCAAGTACATGGTCAGAATCAAGCCTACCTTGGTTGCAGGCTTGATCCCTGGCCCAGTTGGGGCACATGCAGGAAGCAACCAATCGATGTGTCTCTCACATCGATGTTTCTCTCTCTCTCCTTTCCACTTTCTTTGAAAAGCAATGAAATAAAATTGTGCACCATTCTGAACAGCATGATGAAATCTTGCACCATCCTGCTCCATCCCACCTGGACATAAATCACCCCTTTGTCCAACACATCCACACTGTGGACACTCCCCAGTCATTAGTCACTTAATAGCCATCTCAGCTATTAGATCAAATGTCATGGTATCACAGTGCTTGTGTTTAAGTAACCCGTATTTTACTTAATAATGGCCCCAAAGCACAGGAGTAGTTAGTGATGCTGGCAATTCAGACATACCAGAGGAGCCATAAAGTGCTTTAACTGAAAAAGTATGTATGTATAGGAAAAAAACATATATAGGATTTGGTACTATCCACGGTTTCAGGCACCCACTGGGGGTCTTAGAATGTATAAGGAGGGGACCATTATACCCTTCTCTTTGGAAATGACTGGTGGGGTCTTTGTTTACATTTCACAGGCCAAAGCAAGACACATGGCAACTCCCAATATCAATGGGGTGGGAGACACACTTGTCCCCCAGGGATCAAAACCAGCTATTGTTACAATAATATATGGTATGTACAATGGTTAGCTCCATGCCTGGCACACAGTGGGTGCTCAACAAATGGGCACTGTTATAGGAAGAGCTTAGGGGCTGCAATAGCTAACACTCCAAATCATTATGCCTTGTGAATGGGAAAATAGAGGCCCTCACCTCCATCCTTGTACACCCTTCCCCTGCTTCCCAGCTGGAGAAAAATGACAGCAGCCATTTCCAAAGAAGGGTTTATTAACACTTGGGGCCCCAGCAGGGACAAAGCAGCAGTGGGTGCTAGAGACTCCTGAGGCCCAGGGCGAGGCCAGCAAGACAGAGCCCATTGCTCAGGAGGCAGCCCAGATTGCAAATGGAGGACAGGCCATGGTAGCGGAAGAAGATCTGGCGGAGGGCACTGTACTTGGGATCCTGCTCCCGCAGCTGGCGGTAGAGGTCAGGGCCCTGGTGGCTGCCTGGCACCTCCCCACCCAGGCCCTGCTTCTTCTCCATGGTCTGCAGGGCCCACATGGCAGCTGTGGTGCGGGGCTCCAGCCAACGGGCATTGATGGTGGCAAGCGTGAGGCTCAGGAACAGCAGGCAGAGCTGGCAGAGGTAGTGGGAGGTGAGCCATACCTGGGAGGCAGGAGGGGCCCTCCATAGGGTCCTTCTGCATCCTCAAAGTCCAGAGGGGATGGGGGATAGCCGTGGGTCAAAACTAGACCTCCCCCTCCTTCCCCAAACCCGGATTAGGGGCCCCAACCTAAGCTCCAGCTCTCATAACCTGAAGCCAGCAAAAGTTCCATATTAGCATCTCCTTTATCCCCCCAAAACCTTCTGAGCCTCCTCTCCTGTGATACTCAGACTGGAAGTATCCAGAGCACAGCCTTGTCTCCTCTTTTCCCACAAACTGAGGGTATCTCAGGGTAGAACCTCTCTTCCCCAAATTGGGTCAGCACAATCATTCCTCCAAAAAAGAGCCTAAGATAGCGTCCATCTCCTCTGTGGCCCCATCCCAGACCCCAGAAGCTGACATTGGGCCCACAGGGAGTGAATAAAAAGTCCTTAAAGTTCTAGTTACCCATAATACTCTCCTGTCTCTGTGGAATTATTCTTAAATCCCTCTCAGGCTTTACCTGCCCACATCTGAGGAACATAATAAGGGCAGAGGGAGGGCTGGATAGAGAAATATGAGATACAGAGATGGTCTCTTGCCTGGTGGCTGGGTAAATGTGTGGATGGGGGTGGGGGACTTTAAATTCCCAGTCAGGCTAGTTTTTAAACAATGAGCTGGGGTCAGTGCCCCAGCCCAGCTGAGTCACCACAGCTTGGCGGCAGGCCCAACCAGAGGGAGGAGAGGGAGCAGCAGCCAGCAGAGACACTGGGAAATAGACAGGGCTGCTGGGGATGGTTATGCAGGCTGTGTACTACTCAAGGGTATCCAGAGCCCAACTTTGTGTCCACCAGGAAGAAGGCAAAGTTTTGTTGTTGTTTGTTTAATTCTCACAAAGGAGTGGCCATAGGTGCTCAGTGGGATACTGGGAATGAGTCTTCAGAAGGTAGTGAAGCCCAAGTCTGCATACCTGGCTGGCCTCCCAGAATGTGAGCTGAGACCAGGTGTGCTGTGGAACCAAGATGCAGAAATTGACGAAGGCACAGGCCATGGAGATATGAAAGTAGAAAGGGAAGAGTTTGCTCTGCACAAGACCGAAGGTATGTCGTGGAAGGCCTCGGAAAAGCAGGAAGCCTGTGGGGTGTAGGGGACCACATGTCTGTTAGGATACTCCAGGGCCCCCTCTCATTACTGTCCCCACCCTGGGTATCCATGACGTCCAGACCAAGGGTCCCTACCTGAGATGAAGGTCACCCACATTTGCATGCCCCAGGCCCCGGACAAGACCAGTAGATGGACCACCTTAGTCAGGCTTCCCGGGTTCCCACCTTCCTCCATCTTGCAGGCCTGGGAAGGAGGCACCAGGTGGCTCAGAGCTTTGCCTTTGGCACCTGTGAGCCTAAGCAAGACCAGGGTCACCGCCAATCCAGCAGATATCCCGGGCAAGCAGCCCAGGAATAGGGGTGGGGAAGGCTCCTAACAGTCCTGCGACAACCCACGACCCCATCTCTCTAGATGTCAGCTCTCAAGATCTCAGGCCCTCTGGACCCCAACATCCATGCCACCTCCAACACCCCCAAATTTCAGCCCCAGCAGCTCAAGCTCGTATCCCCAGATCTTCAGAGATCACCTCAGTGACTCAAGTATCACCTCGAGGTCCCAGTTTTAACAGCAAAGGCTCCTGCTCACAAGATCCAGGTATCTCTATGAAGATCCCCAAGGCACCTCCGAGACTCCATCTAATCCTGGGAAACCCCCAAATCTCATCCCCAAGACACCGACCCCACCAGCAGGAATCCGGACCTCAACCCGCAACACCCAGGAGCTCGAGACCAGAGGCGCCGAGGCCGGATCTCGGGGCCAGGGCGCTGGGCTGGGCGCCTCGCTCCCGCGGTCCTCCGCGGCCACCTCTCCCGGCGGGATCCAGAATTCGTCCCGCCTCCCAGCTAAACCCGAAGCCAATCCAATCGTAACCTATCGCCTCCTGTACCGCCCTGTTAGATATTGACTAATCGATTAGCAGAAACCAGCCTGAAATCCCGCCCCCTCGCGGGAATTTTATCCATTTACTAGGCGGCTCCTAGGATCCGCGGAAGCGGAAAGGCGCCGACGAGGCCGCGGGTTGCAACGGCGGGGGCGGAGCTAAAACGCCAGCCACACCCCTCTCTGTGACTCCGCCTTGGGCTCCGAGCGTTTTAAAGTGATGGTGTCCCCACAGGATCAAATTTCAGCATCACAGCTGGGGGCTGGCTTCGCGGTCCCTGATGGGAGAGCATGAGCAGGTGCTATGTGGTACGTGGAGCTGGAAAGGGGTCGGGAGCCTGGACGGCGCGGGATTCACGGCCCAGGGGGCGGGGCCCAGGCTAAAATGACCCCGCCCCTCCTCCCAAAGAATTCTCCCTGGAGGGACTTGGGAAGGAACAACCGTTGTGGAAGGGGTGGGGGCCTCGTACTGGGGATCTGCCTGCAGTTGGCACTCAGAAATGGGTCTTCCCTTTCCCTCTCCAATCCTCTCAGGGCTCCTATGGTCCCCAGGTCCCAAGTTCTCAGCGTGACATTCAAGGACATACCCTGAGGTTCTCACTACTGAACGCTAAGCATTGGCATGGATTAATCTACTTAATCACAACTCAATTATGTGGTAGTATGATATCCCATTTTTATAGTTGGGGACACTAAAGAATGGACAGGTTCAGTAACTCTTCCAACATCACACAGCTAGGAAGGGACAGAGCTAGGATTTGAACCCAAACCATCCAGCTAGAGGGTGTCCAGTGCCTCTTGAAAAGGTACCCTAGAACATTTCAGGCAGAAGAATATATGTCACAGGGTAGGTGTGAAGACCCAATGAGTGCTGAGGGTGGTGCCCAGCACTCAGAGCAATACTCAGAAAATATGAGTTTAAAAAAGGATTAAGTTCCTGGCCCATGTTGCTCAGTGCTTAGAGCATTATCCCAAGCACCCGAAGGGTTTCCGGTTTGATTCCTGGTCAAACTCCTGTACCTGGGTTGCAGGTTCAGCCCCAGCTGGTCCATGTGTGTGCCCGAAGTAACCAATCAATGTGTCTCTCTCACATAGATATCTCTCTCTCTCTCTCTCCCCCCCCTTCCCTCCCTCCCTTCCACCCTCTAAAAATCAATGGAAAAAATATCCTCGGGTGAGGATTAACAACAGCAAAAAGGATTAAGGGCCCTGGCCCGTGTGGTTCAGTTGGTTGGGCGTTGCCCCATGCACTGAAAGTTTTCGGGTTCAATTCCCAGTCAGGGCACGTGTCCAGGTTGCAGGCTCTGTCCCCAGTAGGGGTCATGCAGGAGGCAGCTCATCAATGTTTCTCTTTCACATTGATGTTTCTCTTTCACATAGATGTTTCTCTCTCCCTCTCCCTTCCTCTCAAATCAGTAAAGACTTTTTTTTAAGGATTAAGGAAGCTGTTACAGAGTAGATGCTGAGTAGGGTTTTGAAGGGTGTATAGGAGTCTTCTAAGACTGAGCAGAGGAAGGACACCAGAGGGCTCAAAAAGGCCTAGAGCTTGGCCTTTCTGGCTGTGATCCAGGACAAGATCCCCTTCACCTGGAAGTTTTTCCAGACAGCTCTATCCCAGGTGACTCCATTGGTGCCAGCCCTGACTACACTGGAGGGGCAGGGGTGTGTGGATACGAGACATAGAGCTGACTTCTTTCTTGTTCCCAGCCTCACCTAGCATGGGCCTGGGCCCCGATTAAGCTAATATTTATTGAATAGATATGCCCTACCTCTCCTGTTCATACACTATGCCTCCTGTTTACCTGGGGAACCAGGTCCAGACTTCCCTGCTTGGCTTTCAGTGTCTGCTTGAGCTGCCCTGCTAACCTCCTGCTGCTTCCTCTTGGACTCTGCCTCCAACCATCCTGAATTTACCATCACAGAGGACATGGTTTCACACCTTCAAGCTTTTGCACATGACGTTTCTCTTCTTTTTTTTTTTTAAGAATAGTTTGTTGATTTTTAGAGAGAGAAAGGGAGAGGGAGAGAGAAAGAGAGACACTGATGTGAGAGTGAGCAAAACAACAATCAGCTGCCTCCTGCACACCCCCTAGCGGGGATTGAGCCCACAGCCCAAGCATATGCCCTGACCAGGAATCTAACCAGCAACGTTTCAGTGCAGGGGACGATGCCCTACCAACTGAGCCACACCAGCAAGGGCTGCGCATGCTGTTTCCTACCAGGCCCCAATGTTAAGATTTTTTTTTTTTTTTAGACTCTTCTGAGGCCTCACTTTCCCCTGTGGGGCCTTTTGGGTTCTCCTCACTGCCCAACCTAACCCCTGAGGCTGGGATCATCTTTCACCCTGTTCCTACCATAGCTGGAGGCCCTGTGTTCAGGGCTGAGGCCTCTCTGAGGTGATAGGGAGGTTCTGGGAGTGTTGGGACACAGGGGCTGGTCTCAGTGCAGCTCCCTGTCCTCCCTCCGTGAAGCGACCCTCTTCTGGCCGGCCTGCCCCAGGACCCTGACTACTCTGTGTCCTGCTACTGCTCATCTTCCTCGTCCTCCAACTTGTGTTTGCTTGCTAACAGGAAGTGTGACAAGTATTGGGGTTCGTTGAGGGGCTGCTCCAGGGCTGGGAAGCTGGGAGGGGCTCGAGTGCTCTGGGCTGGCCCTCAGGAAGCCCTCATTCACACACCCCCAGGTGATTCTTCAGACAAGACCTTGGACTATACGATTCACTGGTCCAGCACCCCAGAACCAGAGACCTTGCGGCCAGCTGCTTTAGAGAACACAGTGACGAATACAGACTGGAAGCCAGGGAGGGACTCAGGGCCTCAGTCACATGGGTCTCCTCCCTTCCCCAACTCAGACACTCAGGAGAACTGCAATGACCAGGAACTTGTGAAGAGGCAACAGAGCAGCGCTAAGGTCACCCCCACCCTGTAAACCCCTTCCTGCTGCACTGCAATCTGTTGCTGTGGGGTTTAGGGAAGGGATTGTAGGGGCAGGGAGGTCCTCCTCAAGAATCCTCCCACCATGTGTCTTCAGCACCAGGAACACCTCCCAGTGCTCAGCAATCCTGCGATGAAAATGTCTTAATGGATGAGGGAAAGAATGGAATGGATGTGGGACTGTGTGTTTTAGTGGGATCTTGTCTGTAATTGTCTCTGAGTATGACTGCCTATGTGTCTGTGTCTGGTTATGTATCTGAGATAGGTGTGTGTGGATTCCCTGGGTTTTATGACTTGGAGTACATGGCTGTGTGTGAGGCTGTGTCTGTGTAGCTGCAGTTGTGGAATTACGCATAGTTATGCGTCAGTGCTATTGGTGCTGCCTGCAGACACTGTCAATGTCGTTTGCCTCTAAGGAGGAGGGCCATTTCCTGAGCCCAATCATGCATGCTGTCAGGGGCAGCCCAGAGGCCCACACATGTAGGGTACAAGCCACATAAATGCACTTCTGAGTATGTACAGGCCAGGAGGGATTCACACATGTACCTGGAAGCGCCTTGCCTGCGCTCATTGTCTGGGACACCCAGAACTCAACAGACCCAACTTAGGTCCAAACACTGGGTTGGGGTGAGCAAAGAGGCAGCCCAGGGATGAATTTCTACTGCCCTCATATTCCCCTACCCTAGAAGCCGTTGGAGACCAGCTCCTCCAAAGTCAAAGGTGAGAACCTTCCCTCCAAACAAGACTGTGTGGAAGACCTGCTGGTTCCTACTTCCACCCTCTTCCCCAGCCTCCGTGGAACCCTACCATTGCTGCCCACTCAGCTCTGCTCCAGCATCAGCTGACTCTTGCCCTCCATTCCTGTCCCTGAGCTTGACCCCTACTCCTGCCTCTACCTCAGCCTAGGTGAATTCCTGCTCCAGACTTTGCCCTTGCCCCGACCCTTCCCAGCCTGGCTGACCCACACTTCTGCTCACAGTTAAGTGTACCATGATTCCTGACACCTCGAAGCTCCTGCGATGTGAACTGGAGTCACTCAAGAACCAGCTACACGCCCAGACCAAGGTTAGCTTCCTAAGCCAGCTCTACTCAAGCAACCTCTGTCCCTGTCCTCCAGCCCCCTCCTGCCTCCAGGTATAACCTCTTCCCCACAGGCTTTTTTTTAAAATAATACTTTATTAAATTTATTGGGGTGACAATGGTTAATACGAACATATAGGTTTAAGGTGTGGGTTTCTATGTTACGTCTGTATATTGCTCTGTGCGCCCACAGGCTTTCGAGTTCCTAAATCACTCAGTGACCCTGCTGGAGAAGGAGAGCTGCCTGCAGCAAATCAAGATCCAACAGCTTGAAGGTGAGGACTGGCCTTGGGTCAAGGTCAGGCTGGAGGCTGCCAGGGTCAGCTGGGTCAGGGTGAGAGAAGTGGGTGAGTCTGGATTCAGGGTTGGGATCCAACCAGACTAGGGCAAGGTGGGTTCAAAGCTGGGCTTGGTGTGGTGGACCTCAGTCAAGCTCCCACTGTCCCTGCAGAAGTGCTGAACCCCACAAGCCGCCAGACAGAGGGACACAAATGGGGCATGGAGCAGGAACAGCAGGAGCTTTATGGGGCCCTGGCGCAAGGCCTGCAGGGACTGCAGAAGACCCTGCGGGACAGTGAGGAGGAGCAACAAGCCCGCACTACCCACTGTCTGCAGCTGCTGGCCCAGGAGATCCGAGACAGGTGGGTGCTGCAAGGGAGGAAGCCTGGAGGTTGTGGGAAGGAAGGCCAAGATGGGGGAAATAGGAGAGGCCTGAGTAAGGGGGGTGGGGAGCCATGGAAAGCTTAGAAGACAAGAGGAGGGGATGATGGGGGGAAGATAGGCAGTGCTTGTGTGTGGGGAGACTGGGGGGCCAGAAGGCAGGAAAGACAGGAAGCTGGAGGTGGGATGGGAAGGAGGCCAGGGGATCAAGGAGCTGAGGGGTAAGGTGGTTGAGGGGGGCTGGTTGGGAATATGGGAGGTCAGAGGGCAGAAGGTGGAGAGATAGAGGCCAGGCAATGGGAGGCTGAGGGAATGGGAGGCTGGAGAGAACTGGGGGCTGGGGAGGGGAAGTGGGGGA